GTTTTAAGCTTAACTCTAAACTACAAAAAGTTCTGATTTTGTATGCTTAAGATCTTTGTTTAAGGTCACTTTTGTATTTGGGGTTGTTTACCCCCTCTTAGGTCTTGTTTGGCCTTGCTTTTGTGCTTTCTTTGTGAGCTTTTGGGACCACCTTGTTTTGGCCTTCTCACCACTGAAATCAAGAGGAATTTTAGTGGTGGGGATGGTGTTTTGAGGTCCATAATAAGAGAGGGTCATCCCCTCTCCTTGTGTCTTCAATACTTGCCTTGAATGCCTCATGTGTGAGCATGTTTGTTAAGCTTGTGTTAGCTTGTGTCTTAGCATGTATTTGTGGTTTTTTTTGTTGAGGCTTACCACTGTTTTTGCTTGGTTTGGTCACTCCATGCATGGCTTATACACTTGTAGTGTAAATCTTGCACACTAGTCTTGTATGCTTCATGAAGTAGCATGTCATTCTAGCTTGTGTTGAGTCCATTTCAGCATATTCTTGGTGTTTTTTTGCCATGTCATACCTCTGTTAGGGTTTGTTTTGGTCACCACTTGCATGCTTCATGCACTTGTAGTGCAATTCCTTGAATTAGCCTAACGTGCATCATGCCTTGACATGTCATTCTAGCATGCTTTTGGCTTAACTTCAAGAAGCTTTTGTCCATTTTTTAGCATGCTTTAGCTCTGATTTAGGTTGTTTTGACCATGCATGACTTTCTTTGTATAGCCATAGTTCAATCTAGCTTGTTAGCTTTGTGCATCAAGTCCGCTAGCATGCTTTACTTGGACTATTTGAATGGTTTGGCATCATTTATAATGTGATTTCAGTCCATGTTTAATGGCCATGCACTTGCATCTGTCACTCATTCAATGCGTTTGAGGGTTTCCCCCTTTATGCCTTAACATGAATCGTTGCGTATGCCTTCATACCTTAGCTTGCAAGCCATCATTTCAATGTGTTTTTGGGGTTATCTTGCTATGATATAATTCTGATTTTTGTTGGTTAAGTGGGTCTTAATAGGTGTAGTATAATCCACCTTATTTACCTTATATGCATCATGCCTTATGCCCCTCATGCTAGCATGTTTTGGCTTCTTTCCATGCATGTTTTAGACTCATTTTGACATGTTCTAGGACTGTTTTGGGTTGCCTTTGCCATATCCTTCATGCTTTGTATAGCTGTAGTGCAATTGGCCTTGCTAGCTTTATGTTTTGTTGACTCATGCATGCTATCTTTGAGCTATTTAGATGATTTGGCATCATTTAATACTTCATTTCAGAGCTTATAGCATTGCCGTGTTCCCACATCTTTCATGCTTTGAATGCCTTTAAGTGTTATGCATTGTTGCCTTACTTATGGCCTAGCATGTATGCCATCTTGCCTAGGTACTTGAGCCTCCATCTTAGCATGTTTTGGTCATTGTCTTAACTTACTTGAGCTCTGTTTGTGGTTGGTTCATGCATATTTTCCATGTCTTGCATGCCTCCTTTGTAGTCATCTTTATTAGCTTTCATGCTTTAGGACCTTTGCATGCTAGACTTGTGTTTGACTGAATGATTTGGCATCATTTCTTACTTAATTTCAGTGCATTTAGTGTTGTTACACCTCCTCATTTGTCACTTCTTGAGCCTTCTTGAGGGTTGTGCTCTTAGGCCTAGTTGATTGGCCAATGCATTATGCATGCATGCCTTGTCTTTTGGTGCCTTTGTTTTGATGTTATGGCCACTAATTTGGGCATGGCTGAGGTCTATCCATTTTGGTTTAAGTCCATTGAGCATTATGTATACCATATAGTTCATCGCATTGTGTATGCCATGTTGTTTGATTACATTTGTATATACCATGTTCATTGCATTGCATATGCTAGTTGTCATTTAGCATTGTGTATGCTAGTTGTTGTTCTTGGCATTGTGCATTGTGCATGCCATTAGCCTTGTTAGGTTGTTCATATTGCATTGCATGTTTGCATGCTTAAGTTATATTTGCATGTTTGCATATTTGCATGCTTGTGTTGCATTGGATTTTTGCATACTCCATGTTACATAGCATTGTGCATGCCATGTTGTTGCATTGTTATTTGGATTTAGTGTTAATCTGAGCACGAGAAACGAGGGACGTTTCATACTTGAAGTGATGAAACGTGCCTCAATTATTGGTCGCGGACGCTCTTGATCATACATGATAGAGTTTTAGGCTTTATGTGTTCACTTGTGCATTCATTTTATATTAAATTGTGCAATTTGACTTCTCGACCATCACACATTGAAATGCACTATTGGTGGCCCAAGGGTCGAGAACTACACTCCCTTGAGCTCATGAAATGATAGGGAGGGTGGTTGTGCACACATATCTTGAAAATACATTGCCATGCCCTTTCTTGCTCTTTGTTGCAAAAAACTGGAGTTTGGCAGCAACAACTGGTCGACCAGCCAAAAAAATTAGCTGGCCGACCACTTTTTCTGGCTTCCACCACAGAAAGTGGTTGGCAGGTGGCTGGTGACACCAATAACTGGTCGGCAGCATCCCTAGAGGTCCCCTGGGTGGAGTTTAAGCTTTTCTGGAGCTTAGAGCAAGGTTCTGAAAACAATTGAAAACAGAGGCAAATCGGGGCATCGCATTGGATTTCCGAACGAGGTGACCGGACATGCATGCATTCTTCTCCCTCTGAGGCTCCTGTTTTTACTGCTTTATTTAGCTTATTTACTTAGCTAGATTATGCATTCATTTTGTACTTTAATAGTTAATGCGTTTAGCTATTTCAATTTGTTTTGTAATAATTAGTTAACTAGGATTAGTTAATTAGTTTGTTTTGTAATAATTAGTTTAATTAGCTTAGATTAGCTAGTTAGCTTCTTATTCGGACTCTCCCTTGAGAGGGCCAATTGTTGTAATAAGCATGCGTGTGTGTGATGCATGTCTTCCAACCCCTATTCCTTTCTCCCTTTTACTTAACCGCTTATGATGGTTAGCTTTAGGGCATATTTCGTTTAGCATACCTTATGCTTACATGTGTGCATCCATTCATCTGTATTGCATACACCGGGCTCAGCGCATCATACTAACTGCATTGTATTTCAATTCCTATTTGAATACATGTACCAAGTTGCATTTTCACATGACATCTTAGAATAGCCGAGCCTATGTGAGTTGCATTTTTGCATGTGTTGCATTAGCCATTTTAACATGAACTAGGATCATGCATGATTTCTAACTAGTTCTTTGTTTTGGCTCGAAGTACACTGTGAGTGTTTACGCTTTAGCATACTGCATGTGTGTTATTGACTGCCATGTTAAGCATGCTTGCCATGAGGCTAACTGCTTATTTGATATAACTGCCTGAATGCCTGTGGGTGAAGGTTGGATTGCTTAAATTGGAACAATTCATCCCAATCCCCGATTTAGCCTACTCGCGAGTAGCAAACTTTAAACCATTTTCAAACAAACGAACATGCAATGTTTTGTTCAAATTTAGGCGATCTAGTCTATACTTGTATGTTGTGTGCATCACATAGTAATTCTAGGTTAATAACTGGAATAAGAGCACATGTGTTTTCAAAAACAAGACATCATGCTTAGTACAGGCCGATCTTTGATCGGGCGAGCGGGGGTGCTCATTGCATGACCTTCCCCTCTCGCACCCAAGTCCCCGAGCTGAGACAACTTTGGTGATGGCGGACACGTGGCCTTAGGCACGAGTCAGGGTTTCCTAAATTGCCTCAAAATAAAATATTTAAGTAGCGACTCTGTATCTAGCAAAACAGTCCATGTTTGGCACTTCTTTATTAAAAATCAGTTTTCCAAAACGATTTGACGGATTTGGACTCTTTGGTGATTTATTGATCTTACATCGCACATTGTGAGATTAGATTCAGAACCGTGACATTGTATCCGAACTTGTAGTAGCTAGAGAACAAAACGAATTCCGCGTCCTCGCAGGCGTGGAGCTCGGGAGTCCTCGGGCGCGTCTACAGTCCCATATTAGATTCAGAAAGTAGAAACAGATTCATATTCTTATTCAGAGTTTAGAAACAAGTACTTGTTCAGTTTCACAGAGAATTATACGTGGTACACGCATTAGTGCTAACAGATCATGTATAGAGCATTAAAGATCATACTTGACCAGTTCCATAAAGGAAACTCCGGTACCGGGAACTTGTAACATACTTGAGCCACGGTATTGTTACCCCCAGGCGAGGGCCATGAGACCACGGTATTATTACCCCCAGGCAAGGGCCTTGTGCTCATAGACTATGGTATTGTTACCCTCGAGCTAGGGTCTTGTGCTAAGGATGCCACAAATACTTTTCAATATATGGACAATCATTTATTGATTCAGAGCATAACATGTTAGAAAATAGAGCATTTTCTTTCGTATAAGAAATTACTTAAACGTAAACATATCTTTACAAAGTAACTACTCACAGATGGCTCCAAAGCAAACAAATCAGATAACTTGCGGCACGTAACCTACACAGACACAGAATGAATACGAACTGGACTACACACCCAGAATTATTCACTTAGTTCTTTCTTGTCTTGGTGTGTTTCTACTTCTTATCCTCATTATTATGTCTTAACCATAACCTAGGAATGCATAGGATGCAATGTGGATGCCAAAATGCACTTTGAAACACTTGACAAAATTTGCTTAAAACAGGCCTTCACTCGAGCAGAGGCTAAAACATGTGAGTGGTCGCTCAAGCGCAACTTTGGTAGCTCGAGTAGTCTGTAAACTCTGCAAAAGTACTAGTTACTTGACTTTTTTGCTCGGTGCACGCTTGACGGTCGCTCGAGCGTGAGACTGAGGTCTTCGTTCAAGCGCAACTCTTGTTGCTCGAGCGGTTTGCAAAACATGAAATATCAAGATCCAAACCCACCCCTATAGGTTTAGCATCATAACCGGCCAGTAATCCTTGGATTATCAAAGGCCTCTTAACAGAATAACATATAATTAGGGGCTAAGGAAGCAAATAGCAATTATACAACATCCATTGAGTTATGCAGACTTATATGAGACAGAAAAATTTTAAACTTTATATACATACATATACACATCATCATATATATAGAGAGAGACTAGACAGAAAGGGACTTGGCCCTAAATACAGAATAAACAAAAACAAGAAAACAAAACTTGAACTTTATGTACATAGCCATAACCACTTGACATATCCGAAACCTCCACGGGAGGCACATAGGTTGGCTGACAAAAACAGAATCCAGGCAGACGCCCCTAAGCCAGGTCATGCGCCTGATCACCTACGTACATAAATAATACAGTGAGATAAAGCCCAGTGAATAATAACAAAGTAAAGGGTTTTAATGAATGATGTACATCACAGAGTCAGAAATCAGAGTTTATATAAAAAACAGAGTCTTATGCATATTCAAATTCCAAATCAAAAACAGATTCATATATATGTTCATATTCATTTTCATATTCAGATTTTGCATATGATTATACGTGGTACATCCATTAGCACTAACAAATCCGATGACTCATAAAGGGACAGCCTTTAAGGCATTCCGATGACTCATGTGCACAGAGACGTTTCCGATGACCCATAAAGGGATGACCACAAAGGCATTCCGATGACCCATGAAGGAATGACCATAAATATATTCTGATGGCCTATAAAAGAGACGTATATCATATGATGCTAAGGATGCCACAAATACATTTCAGAAACGTAGACAATCATTCATTCATTCATTCAAAACATAACATTTCAGAAAACTGATCATTTCATATCATCAGAAAGTATTTAAAGTTAAACATAACTTTATAGAGTTATTACTCACAGATAGTTGTAGAAGTAGATCAGACAGATCAAGTAGACAAATCAGATAGATTAGGCAAAAGATAACGCATGACCTATACAAACCCATAACATATACACATTGAAACACAATATTAATTCTTTGATCAAATTTGACTTTTCTTGTCTTTTTCTGTCTAGGTAGTTCGAAGTTCTACTATGCTTATTCTTCCTCATTTAAATGAATCGGGTTCTCATCTCACATATCCTTTCATTACTAAATCATTCTTTTCTGAATAAACCAATTTCTTACTTGGCTTCTTAATCAAGTACTACTAAGTTAATGACTTATTCTTTAATCAACTAATTAATGTTGATTGTAAGCTTATTAATCTTTATTTAGTCATAAATCATGTCTAGAATGCTTTGGAAAGAGATGAGAATAAAAATGTGAACTAAATGCAATTTTTCAAAATATGTTGAAAATAGGGTCTTCGCTCGAGCGGACTACAAAGCTTTATAAAAATATTGGTTGGCCTTAATGTTCACTCGAGCGGTCACTTTACCACTCGAGTGAGGACTTTACCACTCGAGCGGCCAGCAAATTTCTTGTGCTTTCAAAATCAATAAAATAATTTCCAAATACATTTTCAAAACTTAAACTATTGCATGAACCAATTTAAACATGTAATTTTATTAGTAAGGATGAACCCATGACTAATTTTCCAATTTCTAAAACAAAAATCTCTTTGATCATTAAGATTAAAACTAATAATTTCATGAATATAATAATTTCAACATTCTTCTTCTTTGTTTTATAAAACATAAATTAAAGTTATAAAGTCCTTTCAAAATATTTACATGTAAGAAATTTAAATTAAAATCAAACTAATTTTTAATTCTCAAATATAAATTATAGTTTATTTCCAAATTTGTCCAAATTTAGATTTAATTTATTTTCTCTATACCAAACCTAATTTCAAACCCACAAATTTTAAAACATGAATTAAACTTTCAAAACTCTTGAAAAATTTATAATGCATGTACAATTGAAACTCAATGTGATTAATTTCTAAATTAATTTCCATAAATTTGAACATAGCTCCAATTCCTCATTTTCTTTTTAATTACGTAAAATTGACTTCAAACACTTTCTATTTTCCTTCAAAACATGAAATTAAAGTTATAAATTTCTTAGAAAATCATTTGCATGCATGAAACATTTATCAAAACCCAAACAATTCATCACTATCAAGCTCAAACCATAATTTGACTTCTTAATTTATATCAAAACTCAATCTCAAACTCATAAACTTTCAAATATGAATTAAAGTTCTAAAATCTTGAAAATCCACAATGCATGCATGAAATTTCAATTCAAAATCAAGCCAATTCTAGATTGTCAAATTTTAAATCATAATTTATTTCTTGATGTATCCAAAAATATATTTAATTTTGAATAAAACTCTTTCATTACATGCATGGGTTAGAGATCAAAATTAAATCAATGTCTAATTTCCATTATAAAATGAAAACCTTATCTAATTTTAGGAATAACTCCAAATTTTCAAAACTCATGGTGCATGCAAACATATATCTCATAGATATCAAGGTTTCCAAACCCAAGCTCAATTTGACGAATTCTTACAATTATTTCCAAGTTTATCAACCTTAACTATGTTCATGAATTAACTCTTCAATTTCTCTAGATTACATGCATTTGGTTCAAGTTCTTTCTTGAATTCATGTGATGGGTGAGTTATGTACAGAAATTAAAGGTGAAATGCTTACCTAGATCTTGAATTCTTGAGTTTTCCCCTTCAATTTCTCTTCTTCTTTCTTTGTTTCTTGAAGTCCACGAGCTTACTCTTTCTCTCTCTGGAGTTTCATTCTCAGCAAAATGTGTTTTTGAATCAAATGGATTACACCTACCTCTTGCTCACCCGTGCCATATACACGTGCACACCCTCTTTTTATTTATTTATTTATTTATGTTTTTTGTTGTTGTTGTCGTTGTTGTTTGAGGCTCCAGCACATATAACTCACACACACTCTCTGTAGGTTTGTCTACACTTTTCTCTTGATTAAGTAAATGAATAGGATTAGCTTAGTGACTAATTATATATTAATTTAATTAAACCCCACTTAGTCTTAACTAACTATAATTAATAATTAGTCTTAATAAATCTTGATTAGCACATAATTTAATTAATCGCAACTAATTACAAATCTCACATAATTTAATTAATCTAATTGACTTCAATTACGGCCCAATTAATTATATTTAAATTTTACGAATCTCAATCAAATTTTCAATTAAACTCCCAAAAGACTCTAAATATCAAATTAAATTTATTGTCATCATCAATTTTGGTTTCTCAAATCATTAAGGTCTTCAATTTCATATTAAATTCAAAATCCCCACCAATAAATTGCATATTGGGCACCTCATAAGTAAATTTAATTCAAACTAATCGCAATTCTCAATCCTCATAACTTAATTAATTTAATTAACTCAAATTCGGACCCAATTAATCAAATCCCAATTTTACTAAACTGAATTGAATATTTAATTAAACTTCCATATGGTCCAATACTTGAAATCGAATTGATTCAACTCATTAATTTTACCTCCTTCAGCCATTAGGCTTTCAAAATAAATACTTGACAAAACGATATGTGAATCAGGTCCAATAATTCTCATAGATTCCAAATCTCATAATCCTCAATACTTTTCATAATGACTAATTAAAATCCAAATCTCCTTAATTACTTAAATATAAAATATTATATGTGGCGGGGTCATTACATGAAAACTTCTGAGAGCATGCATTTTACGCTCAAGCCAACTTTTAGTCGCTTGAGCGAGAGTGTAAAATATAGAATGGTCGCTTGAGCAAGAGTGTAAAATATAGAATGGTCGCTCGAGCGCAGGTTCCGTGGCTTGAGCAGACAGACCGAATCTGGAATTTCTAAATTGCACTTCCAAGCTTCAAACTCAAACTCAAACTCAAACTCAAAGCTACAAATCAAGTTCTTTTGGGCCACAAACTTAAGGAAACTTGTGTAAACTTGTCAAACATCAAGAATTCAAAATCGTTTTGCAATATCAAAGCCCAAAAGCATGCCAATTGTGCAAAACGAAACTCAATCTTTGCAAACATAACATGCACGTATTGCCTTGCCTTCAAAGCTTCCAAAGCATGATCATTTCACTTTAAAATGGTATCAAACAAGATGAATTCTCAAAATAAAAGTAAAAGAAGCACATGCATGTGAGAATTCCTTGAAATCAAACTCAAATTATGATGAAATGAGCATACATGCATGATATGGCTGAACTTCATCAATTCTAGCTCAATTCTTGAGGAATTTGCTCAACATCATCCCCTGTAAGCACTATGTCATCCACATATACAATGAAAGCCGTCGTCTTACCATGGAAGCAATGTTTAACAAACAGAGTATAATCAGCCTAACTTTGTTTGAAACCATACTTCACCATCGCTTGAGTAAATCGCTCAAACCAAACCCTTGGAGGCTGTTTAAGACCGTATAGTGACTTTCGAAGTCGACATACTTTCCCCTATGTCTGAAGATTTTCAAAACCAGAGGAAATATCCATATACACATCTTCTTCTAGGTCACCATGGAGGAAAGCATTCTTCACATCAAACTGATGAAGTGACCAATCCAAATTAGCTGCAAGAAAGAGGAGTATCCTGACAGAATTCATCTTTGCAACTGGAGCAAATGTCTTTTTGATAGTTCAACCCATATGTCTGATTAAAACCCTTTGCCACAAGTAGATCCTTATAACGCTCAACTGAACCATCTGTCTTGTGCTTTACTGTATACACCCATTTGCATCCCACGGTTCATTTGTCCCTAGGTAATTCAGTCAATTCCCAAGTGCCATTCTTACGAAGTGCTTTTATTTCCTCAATCATAGCAAGTTTCCACTCAGAGGTAGTGAGAGCATCTTGAAAATGATTAGGTATACTCACAGAAGAAATGTTGGACACTAGGAATGGTAACGGGGCGGGGCGGGGCCGGGGATCACCCTCCCCGTCCCCGATCCCCAATGGTGGAAATCCCCCCGTCCCCGGCCCCAATCCCCGACAGGGAACCCACTACCGCCCCCTAACGGGGATTGGGTTTCCCCGACCTCGAAAATCCCCGGCCGAAAAAAAAAAAAGAACACAGCTCCAGAAAACAACATCTTCATCTTCAGATCTGAACAACAACAACAACAACATCAACAGATCTTCATCAACATCTTCATCTTCATCTCCACCATTTTCTAGATCTGAAGAACAAAAGCAAAAAAGAAGAGAAAGAGAGAGAGGAGATTCGTGAGAGAAAGAGAGAGAGAGAGAGAGAGACGGAGATACCGTGAGAGGGAGATGAGTCGGCGGTGAGGGAGCTGCCGGTGAGAAGGAGCCGGTGGTGAGGGAGAGAAGAAGCGTGAGAGAGAGAGAGAGAGAGAGAGAGGGGGCAGATATGCTGTTATGTTTTGTTGCCAACACACACCAAACCCCCCACACACACACCACGCACACACATATATATATATATATAAACACACAGCACACACATATATTTATATGCAGATATGCTGTTATGTTTGTTGCCAACACACACCAAACCCCCCACACACACACCATGCACACATGTATGTATATATATATATATAAACACATAACACACATATATTTATACATATATAAATTGGATCGGGGGGCTGAACGGGGTGGGGCCAGGGCCGAGGTTGGAAAATGTATCCCCGTCCCCGGCCCGAATATCATCAGGGATTTATTTTTAAATACCATCCCTGGCCCGTCGGGGGTATTTTTTGTGGAAAAACCATTCAATTCGGGGTCGGGGGGTCGGGTCCCCGTCGGGCCGATTTCAAATTGCCATCCCTACCAAGAACTCCCCTTCCATTCCCAATGTGGGACACCAGGACCTTACACCAAGTCAATTTCGTGATCGGATGTCGATAAGGCCCTCAATTCGCAAAACAGAACAAAAAGACAAACATATATTCCTGCAACAGATAGATATAAACACATATAACGTAAGACACATGCAATTAACTCAGAATTCCATCTTAATTACTCATGAAGCATCTTAATCATGGTTTAGAAGTTAATCACAAGTCGAGGTTGTTACAGATATATAAAAAATAATATATGATCCATATTCAATTTTTATATAGTAAAATTCGCATTTAATCTCAACCATACATTAGTTTTCTGAATCAATTCATCACCCAAACTATATTACTATTCTTTTAAGTAATAATCACATTTTTAAAACTCACACCCAAATAATACTCTGACTGACGTCATCATCATCCTTGTTGTTGCCATGCTTACCATCTCCACTAACCACTATACAACTCCGGTATAGTTTTTTATCTTTGCAAATTTAAAAAGACAATGTTGGGGAAATAAAAAGGTACCATTAGAGTTTTAAAGAGTTAATAATAAAAAATGAAAAAAAAATGTGTGGTTTTAGTTATTCTTATTCCATATATGGGTGATAATTTTTTTTTTTAAATCCATAAATTATGGAACAATATTCATTATTTAAAATTTATTTATTGATGGGTAAGTCAATTAAATGTTTATAATTTTTTTCAAATAAAAATATTTTTTTTATTTTGTTTAAGAAATTAAAAAAAATGGCCAAATTATAAAGAACAATATAAGACGCCATATTTTATTAAAAAACACATAACTATATTATCAATTTATATATATAAAAAATACACAAACATCCACCAAATAAATAAAAATAAAAGTTCAAATTAGCTCCCAAAACAAAGATAGTTAAACAGATATATATATATATATATATATATATATTATCAATTTAGTTGGAAAAAAAAAAGTCATATAGAGAGAAAAAAAAAATACTCACACGAAAATAGAAATTAACAAAAAACAAAAACAAAAACAAAAACAAACAAACAAACTTGAAATAAGTTTGGACTATTGACAAAGATAGAGACTAATCTTTGCGTCATTACATTTGGAGAGGAGTTGCCCGGGATGGAAAAAAAAAAAAAAGATCAAATATTGGCTATTCTAAAGAGAAAATTGTATTGAATTTTTAATTTGATTCGATTTTTAAAATTTTATGATTTATATTATTTTTAGAAAGGATGAGGATGGCTTACCATATTATTCTGAACTTTGATATTCAAAATCATAGATAATTAGCGCCTTTATTATTTTTTTATTTGAATTGTTTTAATCAATATTATTTTTGAAAAGAGTGAGGGTGGCTTATCATATTGTTTTGAATTTTAAAATTTAAAATCATTGATAATTAGAGTCTTTTTTTGTTTTTGATTTTTTGACCCAAGGAACTAACCAATAGATTTTTTTTTAAATTTCTTTAAAAATTAACAAATTAACAAAATTAATTTAAGAGTTTGGAGCTCTCACGATCAATGTTCTTAAAAAATCCCTTTTCCTTATAATATATCGATTGTGAGACAATCTAGTCCTCTTTTCGAATTACTTTATTTCAAGACAAATGGTAACAAATAAATACTATTTAGCACTTAAAATTATAAATTAAAAATAGTAAAAATAAATTTTAAAAAATTTAAAATTTATAGAAAGAGTCTTCAATTTTTAATTTTTAATTTTTAATTTTTAATTTTTAATTTTTATATAACAATGGTAGGTTTGACGTTTGACCTTTAAATTTTTTAATTTCTTTAAAAATTAACAAATTAACAAAATTAATTTGAGAGTTTGGAGCTCTCACGATCAATGTTCTTAAAAAATCCCTTTTCCATATAATATATAGATTGTAAGACAATCTAGTCCTCTTTTTGAATTACTTTATTTCAAGACAAATGGTAACAAATAAATACTATTTAGCACTTAAAATTATAAATTAAAAATCGTAAAA